AATCTGTGCAGCTAGAAGCTGAGAACTGGCGACTTCGTAGTACAACTAGAGTTGTACTGGCGAACAGTGTAGTACGCGGAGGAGTCATCTCTCGCTGCTCATTCATCTCTCGCTGCTGAGTCAGCTCTCGCTATAGCCATCTCTCGCGGCTGAGTCATCTCTCGCGACTGAGTCTTCTCTCGCTGCTGAGTCATCTCTCGCGGCGTGCGCGTTCAGTTCATACTGATAGTATTTGGTTGCAGTTATGCAGGACAGGACATTCAACTGCTGGTCAAGACACCACTCATCATACACCAGTCAGCATACACCACTCATCATACACCACTCGTCATACACCACTCATCATACACCACTCAACATACACCACTCATCATTCATCACTTGTCATACACCCCTCATCATACAAGACTCATCATACATAGTCTCTAGTCTCAGAGTTCAAGACAGATTTTACATTCAAATTCGGATTCCACTCAGTCCGATGTGTGATATGCAAGGTTTGCCGCCACTGAAGAATGCCACGGTGGGATGTGTGTCGATGTGGACCGCATCCTTGGCAAGTCGTGGTGGCCGGATGTGTGTCATCTCTCGCAGGGGGCACACACACACCTTACACACGTGGAATCCCGTGGGTCAAAAGTCCGGAGCGCGTGCGTTTGACTGGAGGACGCGCATGTTGGAGAGAACGTGGACACTCCTAAAGGTCAATTTCTTCTTATAGGAAACTTCCGCCGCCGGCTTGCCCGGGAACTACTTGTAATTTATGGTAAAAAGTTGCTTTGGGTGGGCTTGTGTTGAGCTTGTTTGCCTTCAAAAAGTGGCATTATACCTGCACGGGAGACATTTTTTGAAGCTTTCCTTGTTTTCCGGCACTCAAAGGCTTTGAAGGGCAATGTGCATAAAACACTGTAAAATAATGAAACACGAGGTCCGACAAGTGTAACAAAGGTGGTTTTGATTTTTTTATTTTTTGTTTGCTTATGAAAGCTTGCTCCAGTGGGTGGTCAGGGCACGTCTGTGTGGTGCATTCTTGGGACATATCCTTTTCCATATTGGCACGTTTCACCCAATGTTGGGGCTCTTTTGAGGCTTCTCGTTGAGGTATGTTGGAAGTGATTGGGGCCGTGGGATCTATGTTGAAGGCTTTGCTGCTGTTATTTTACATTTTTGCGGTGATGTTGGTCCACTTGGCTGCTTTTTCTCTGCCGTTTGACTTGGGCAGGTAGTCTTTTTGGGTAATGTGCGTAAACCATCGAAAAACTCTGACAGACTTAGGTCCGACAAATATAAAGTTAGCAAACAGACACCTGATCTGGTTACCCTGCAGCAAAAATGGTTACTGCTCCGCTTTCTGTGTTTTTCCGAACTGGTTTGGCAGATCTTGGAGACTACTGAGGTGATCAAGACTCGAGACAATGCTGCTGGGACAAAGATCTTCATCAACATCGTCTCGAGTCCCCACATCGAGGCCAACTGTTGGAAGTGTCACATTGTCAGTGATGATGTGGCAAATACTCTAGAAGGCACTTGCGGTGCAGGGAAGGTTGGACACCTGCTTCAAACTGCGGTGTAGTCACGGAGACAAAACAGTAGCACTCCACGAGTGGAATTTGGGTTTGTTGACACGTTGTGGACGAGGAACACTCGACGACTAAAGCTCCGCTCATCGCAAAAGGGATGCGGAAACATGCCAATGTATTGGAGTCATGTGCAATTTTTCTTTCATGACACAGTCTGTGTTGAAGAGGCTGTTTGTTTTTTTAGCGCCTAGCCGCCTAGCTGTGGTCGTCTTTGACTTCTACCTTTTGGCTGAGGTTTGGCAGTGGAGAGCGCTTTTAATTTCCAATCACTAGTCACTAGTCACTTGTCAGTTGAAGCCATGGGGCTGTTCAGGGCTTTGGCGGTCTTTCTGTCACTTTGTTGGGCCTCACTTTGCAAGAGTGAGGATCGAGAGAGTGGGTCTCGTGAATGGTGCCCGTGCTTGGAAGGGCACGACAATTTCACGAAAAAGAACCTTGTTCACAATGGGACGCCTCATGACGATTTTGGCATCGGATGTCACAATCACACAACAGATGCCTCCTTTGCCATGCACATTCACAACCACTCCAGTGGGGCGCAGCTCGGGTGTGTCACACACCGGGAATCTTGGTGCAAATCGAAGTGGTGCTATGTTGACCCAAGCACGTGCCGTCTGGATTGGGAATGGGGTGTTGTGGGGCCATATTCCTATGCAACTTGTGGCAACGTGAAAGCTGGAAGTGCAGACTACCTTGTCAAGTCCATGGCTGCATTTCTGGCCGATGATCACCTAAGGGTCTTCGACCTAACGAATACTGGGCGGGGCTACATAGGAGGTCGGATGGCAGCCTTTTGGAGCAACTCCCTGAAAATGCTGGAGAAAGCCAGCGTGAGGATCAAGCATACGCCGATCCCGAAGAGCAGTGGGATTGATTCCAATTTCTCCGAGATCACCGAGGCCTTCGAGAAGCACAAGAACTTGTATCCTGCGGTATGGTCAGATCGGACTTCCAGCAACTTTGATCTGTGCGCCTTTGCAACAGCAATGGGCTATGTGGACTTGTGCACTGGGAAGTTTGTATTGACACATGAGAGACAAGAAATGACCTTTGTCATTGAGCTTGCCGCAGCTCCGGTGTTCATAGTGTCAAAAAGTCGGTGTGGTGCTTTCTGTGCCAGCAATGACCTGCACTCTTATCAGGGGTGGGTTTGGTGGACTTTGGTCTTTCGTCCGTTGGCTTGGGCTTTGTTCGCGGGGGTGGTGCTCAGCTTCATTGTCGCTATGCGTATCCTTCACAAGTTGGAGATGAAGAATGAATCCCAGCAAAGTGCAACGGAGCATGTTTACACAGGGTATCAAAGGGTGGTCAATGAACTTCTTGATTGCATCCTTGGCACCTTCGAAGCATTTGTCTTCAAGGAGAAAGTCACCCACTCCAGGGTCTTGACGGAGACAAGACCAATCTCTCGTCCATCCTACATGTTGCGTTTGGGCCTCGCCTTCTTTCTTTTGCTGTTTACCACAATCTACGGTTCCGCGTTGGTGGCGCAGATGATTTCACCAAAAGTGACAGGTGAGATTGAAAGTCTAGAGGCTGCAAAGAATTATCCAGAACATGTTGACTTGTGTGTGCACGAAGTCTACAAAGAATCTGTGAAGCTCTACGCTCATGACAATATCTCGCCAATTTATAAAACTGATTGGGAACATGTTGTGGGGAATTTGACCAACGGCACATGTGATGCTGCACTTCTTGAGGAAGAAATCTGGAATGCGTTTCGAGGTCGCAGAAAGCTTTGTGACTACTACCAAGGACCAGTACATGAGTTTTACATGCCTACCGGAGCTGTCGTTTCCAGACGAGCTTATCGGACCCTTGAAACATTCCGATTCAGTTCTTCAAAAGCTTCAGCTATCCAGGCTATCCTTGACAATCCGCCAGATCAAGATCGCTGCCCTATAGTTTCTCGCAGCGAGAGCGGTTTGCCAGTGGAAGTGTTGGCCGCCCCTTGTGTGGTGGCACTATTTTTTTGTCTCGGGAGCTTTCTTCACCATTGCATTGGGGGAGGACAACCCAACCCCAACGAGGAGACCCTGGAACAGAAGATGCAACGTGGCTTGAGGCGGGCCTTGCATGACCGTCTTGGTGGAGGACAACCCAACCCCAACAAGGAGACCCTGGAACAGAAGATGGAACGTGGCTTGAGGCGGGCCTTGCATGACCGTCTTGGTCCACCGCAATGGAAGGATCTTTAAAGATTTTCCATTCTCCAATTTTCCAGCCGATGCCGATCAAGTAGACTTGATGTTGAGTCTGAATCCAGCACCATCCAGCTTCGGAGAATTCACCACCATAGTGGCCTCCACCGGCAGGCTGCCTTCCCTCCGTCAGATTTTGAACACTTCAGCTGACTCCAGTGATCGTTGTACAGATTGTAAAGGTATTTGCCAATGTGATGCATCCCTAGATGTTTTTAAACTTTGCTGCATACTGCATAGATGGCTTGATCCTGTGCGGCAGCCCATCCCAGGCCGCTGACCGTACACTCAAAGCCGTTGGAAGGAGTTGATGCTCTTCGCTCTCCATTTGCTGGCCAGCGGAAAAAGAGCTGCAGCAAAACTCAGCAGGATTTGTGAAATGATCATTGGAATTGTCTCTGGTTGATGGTGTAGCTGTGGTGTGGGGAATGATCTTGCTGCGAGAGGCACCTCACATGAAGAGCTACACAGAGTTGGAGGGGGAGCAAGGCTGCCGCGTGCCCTTGTCAATTGGCACCCCTGTAGAGGCTGGATTGGGGTACTGGAAGTGGGCGGACTCCGCAGCTTTTGAGGGATTTAGTCTACATAGATCGACATGATGGACCTTCTACTTCGTGGCATGAAACTCAGTTTCTTCTCGGACACTGTTGTCCAGATTGTGTTTGCTTCGTTATTGATAACTTCGTGAACTGCTGAAGTCGGGCAACGCGCACAGTTTTCCTTTGTCTGCGAGGATTTTGACAAAAAAGGGGAGCCCTGCATCAGCTATGATGTCGTGGCCAACCCTGAGGCCATGTTGGACCACAGGAAGGATGGACATTGGACATCAAAAAACGATCCCCAACGCTCCCAAGTGGATGGACGGATTTGTGTCCTCTGAGCAGGAATCTTTTTGGTGATCTATGCAGAACCACGGGGAAAGATATGGAATGATCCCAAGTTGGAAGGGCTATGGTCTGTGGTGGAAAACTGAACACTGAGATCCATTTTCATATTTTTCATACATGCTTCCATTCTGCACCATATCACCACCTCTGCGAGGTGGTGGAGCAGTGCTCCACCGAGCCGGCCTTCCGAGAACAGGCCCGGTGGACAGCGGTGGCTTTTGGTCCGGCCGTTCAAGTTCACGGTGGACCTTTGGGGCGACGATGGTCAGTTGACAGAGAAATCATTGGACATGGGTGGTTGTGATAGTTATTGACCTTGGTGACATGAATGTTTCTCTCACTAATCCAAGCTTGCTGAGTTTGGAAGCTGGTGGGCAAGCATGGAGATAGAGAGATTCAAAGAGCCGTCAAACATGATGTAGAGGTGGTCCAGCTTTGCTTGGCTGCAGTGGCTCAAAAGTACAAGATTGAGCGCCTGGTCGGCAAAGGGAGGGGACCGTGGGTGCATGGGTGGAAGTTGACGAACTGACGAACCAAAAAGAGGTCCTCCTTGCGATGATAGTTGCTCAACATTCCAGAATATCTTCAACATTTCCAGCACCGGCAGCTTTGCCATTCCTTCGATACACGGTCTTTTTTGCCTTGCAAGGATGCAACTACTTGTAATACTACGTACAATTGCAATCTTGAACTCTCCGGTTTTCCATGCGCAAACATCCAGTGCAACACGGGGTGGTAAAAAGGATTACTGTAAAGGATTCAATCATAGTCTTGTTGATGAACAACATCCAGAGCTGCCTGGAGCATCCTTCCATATCCTTCCTGCGGAAAAGAATTCCCCCTAGTCAATGTAGCTTCGCGCAATCGGTTGGTGTAGCTTCCTAAGGTTGGATGCCCGCTTCAAACTGCCCAAGATCAAGTACAAGGCGTTCCACCAGTCACTAGTCGAGAAAACGCCGGCCTTGGCATTGGAGAAAACGCGTTGTCCACTCAGCCAGACCTTGCGAGATGCTCGTTTCACACCTTTGAAGACAGACAGAGTTTCGATGACACGCGCGTTGCAGAGTCTACTCGGCTGGATGCAGGGAACCTCCGTTCAGCTGCAGCGCATTCGCACGCAGCCCAATGATCTTTTGGGGGGTTATAAGCGAAGAGTTCATTCCTGGGTGAGAACATTGTTTGCTTTTGAAAGTGCTAGTGCTAGCTCTCAATCCAAGTCCTGTTTGTATCTGTATTACGTGCTGGAATCTTGGACTCATCGCGGCTGTTTTGCCTTGAAATCCGGCTTGACAATTCTACTTCCGGCTGAGGCAAGAAGAAGGAGTCGCAGATTCAGGAGCAATCTAGATTTCCGTCCAAAGCAACAGACCTACCTGGTTCACCCCAACTCCGCGCCGAAAGGGTCCCTGCTTCGCTGATTCTCCGTCCGATCCAGGAAGTGGATGACTCCAAAGCCCCAATGCCGGGCACCAGCGCCAGCAGGCGCAGCATCCTCTTGCGTCTTTTTTGGTTTCAGGGACTGGACTGGACGACATGTCGAATTGATATCAGGGTGGTGAGGGCGGAGGGGCCAGGTATTGGAGAGGCAGGGTTGCTGCAACTCTGTAGGTGCCGATTTGATATAGACAAGGGTTTATGGTACAGTACTCTCCAACTTCTTTTTTGTATTTTGCTCCGATGAAAAAGCAGGCTTCCACACTCCACCCCCCAAATTTCCAAAGTTTCGATTGACAGGGGGAACTTCACCATACTAGGGTTAAACATGGTTAAACAATGGTTTGGAATCCCACGGATTCGGACAGGCGTGCGGCTGGAGAGTCAGCAACCTTCGCGAAGCCCACAGGCACGCGACCAAGAGGGGAGCGTTCCGGAGGAGAGGAGGGGAAGATCCTGCACAAGCTCAAAACAACCCCGTGGCCCTATATATAGGGAATAGGCAAAGAAACAAATCATGGAACAAGGAGGCCAGAGTCCATTTTTACGGTCAGTCTACCTTTCCCGTCAGAACAGAGGATGTCGCGATGTAATGGTGCTTTGACATGTTTAAATCTCATGGTATGTTATTGTATGCACAGCTGCTTATGAATAGCTCATGAGCTGGTGTGACCCGGAAAGAAGACGTTCCGGCTCAATCTGTTCTACCCCCCACGTGTTCTTCCCATGGCGCGCTGTTGTGGCCGCTGCTGTTGCTGCGGAGTGAAGTGCGGCTGTTGTCTTGGGGGCTGTTGCTTTGGTGTCCTTCTGTCCTTCATGTTGCTGGCGCTGATCCTCTCCTTGGCCGTGTCCCTTCCGGTCCTCGAGTGGATCTCCAAGCACAAGGTGACCCTGGGGAAGGTGAGCAGCTGCGTGAACCAGACCGTTGCGGAGGTCAACCGGACCTTGTCCAAAGAGTTGACGTCAGAGTGCTGGGGTCTTCTTTGTGACAAGTGCGATGATGAGCACATGGAGGAGGAGCTGAAGTCAAAGTGTGAACGCTGCCTTTGTGACGCTTGCCGGGGCATTGAAAAGTGGTGCAACCGGCCATTCCCCTTTGGATGCATAACTGTATAACTAACTGTATAGTATAACCCATTTAACAACCATAAATTGTGGGCCATGTCAGATGAGTGTTTTTTTTTTGCTGTGCACTTCTTGAAACACAAAGAACGCCACATCAAAGCTTACAGTAACACCATCACTTTCGAAGCCAAGGAAGCAGAGTACGTGATGGTCTCGATGAAGCCTTCTCTGGATACTGAGTTGCTCCATTGCTGTGAGCCCTTTGCAGAAGACAAGAGTGTGGACTACTTGCTGTCTCCATGTCAGGACATGGTGACGAATTTGACCGCAGAGCTGAAAAAAGAGACTGAGCAGTGTGAATCGAAGCACCTGATCTCATCTGAGGGGCAGCCGATCTCGCTGAATGTGTACAAGAACCTTCCAAACTTCACAGAGCTTTCAAGGCAATCTTGGATGCCTTACCTCCAAGCTGGCTTGGCTGGCCTGGTGTTCGTGGTCGCCTTCTCCCTCATAGGTCTGGTCTTTGTTTTGAGGGGTATGAGGGCCTCTCAAGGTCATGAGCTCGAAGAGCATCTCATCTAAAGGTCGTCCTGAGTCGTTCCGTGTTCCAGTGGTTGGCGCTGACCACTTCGCGCGAAAAGGGCAGAATCTGATTCCACACTCTGTGGCGCTTGGGCTGATCCCACCCCAAAGTGGCAGGGTTTGGAGTTTAGTTAAGTTGATTCGCCACGAAAAAAGAGACTGTGGAATGGACTCGCACTGCATTGTGGCAAGATGATGGGTTCACTCAACTTGCTTTTTCTCCCAAGAAGGGCAAGGTGCTTTGCCTCTAGATACCTGCATAACACGTCAAGGTGAAACTGCACCTTGACACGTGGACTTTGAACCTTCGCAGAACTGGCAGAGCTTCTGTTCCCCTGGCCCCCTTTGCTGTGCCTGCATTGAACTTTGCATTTACAGATAACATACATTCTTGCTCTTTCTGTTTATTTGAGACTTACCAAATTACCACTACTTCAGCATGTACCCAAGTTCCCACACGTTTTTCGTTTGCTCCTGGGGCCCTGATTGGCTTGCCACTTCGATCCTCAAAACAAGATTTGAGCGGGTTTGGGCGTCGCCTGATTTGCGCAGATGGTCCATCGCCTCCAGACTTCACAGTCTACTACTCCCTGCCAGATGCCCCCCGACTGGAGGTGGGAGATTTTTCTCGACGTCGATGGTAGCCATGGGACTGTTTCAGGGGGCATGATAGGGTGTGGTGGCGAGGATCCGGCGACTGCTGCTGGCCGTGGCTTTCCTAGAAGAGCTTTCAATTTGGCCAGAGGTCCAGAAGTAGATCAACTTGCTATATAGGCCTTGGCAATCTCATCAAGATGTCTACTGTATATATCTGTATATTATCATTCAGGGGTTCTAACTCTGAAAGCCTTTCTTGAAGAGTTGCACGTAGATTCATGCCGTAGGGAAACGCCAGGACGCCTTTACACGCAACTGGGGCTCGCCTCCGGAGGATGTGGACGATGCCACGAAGGCAGCCGACCATGCACTAGTTACAAGCGTCCTTGCTCCATCTTGCTCCTAGTAGTGAGGCCAGGAGCCCCTAGTAGCTTCTTGTTACTAGTAGCGATGCCAGGAGCCCCTAGTAGCGTCTTTGCTCCTAGTAGCGATGCCAGGAGCCCCTAGTAACGTCCTTGCTCCTAGTAGAGCCCCTAGTATAAACGATACATCAGGAAAGAAGATGAAACAGCAAGAACTCGCCATTTGTTGGTCAGATCGGCCATTCGTTGAAAGAGGTCGTTGATTGGTTGGTTGATTCATCGGTTGAAGTTTGGGGTCAGCGAGTCCTCAGTCAGTTGGTTTGGTTAGTTTGATGATTTTTGATTGATGTTGGTTTCGTTGGTAAAATGCTGTTTCCCTGTGACAGCATGCGTGTAGAGGCAATTTCAACTTGACAAGCCATCTAGTAATCAACTAACTGACAGAGTAGCCACCTGACTACGAACGAGCTAACCATAGCTAACCAACAAAGCAACCTACTGTACCAAGTAACCAGCTGACCAACCAGCCAACCAACCAACCAGCCAGCTAACTATCCAACTATGTCGCTAAGTAGCTATACAAATAGCATTACATACCTACTCCTACACCAGAGAGGTATTTTTGTTTGTTCTCATCTTTGAAGATTTGGATATGAGCAGCTGTGGGTGGGATCAAATCTTGTGACAAATGATTTGTGGCAGGAAACTTATTTGTTTGGCTTTGACCTGCCTTGCTACCGCGTGAACACTTTCCAGGCAGGGCAGCAAGAACTCTAAGCACTTTCTCTGTGATGTAGTTGCACAAGCTATCAGAAGCAGGCTGCAGGCTGTAGGCATCCCTGGGTCGCTCGCTCTGTTCTGGACGACTGTCCAATGGTTGGTCTTGCTTCTCGATGCATTTGGCAACACGTTCAGAGGAAATCCATCATGATTGGGAGCAATGCCGTGGGCAATTTCTTCTTGTTGGCCCCTGCCAGGGGCCTGGTGCTTCTTCTCTTCCACCTCCCCGTCTCAAGATCTCTTCCACCTCCTGACGGGCTTAAAGGTTGTTGGCTTCAACAGGGGGGCTGCTGTGACACCGGATCAACCGGTGGCTTGTGTCGTGGGGCTCTTGGACTCAAATCGGAGCGAAGGAGAAGATCCGGGGGACCATGAAGAACAAGGCACGGGAAGCATGGACCAACGGTACTTATGGCCTCAAATCCATGGGACAGTTTGTTCGAAGTCACTTTGTACCAACCATAACAAACGGTGCTTTTTCCAAGACTGGTTAGGAGTCTCGTCTTCGGTGGTCAGGGGCTCCCAACTGCATATTGAAAGCTAAACTACAGCGAACTGAGTTGCTTAATCCTATGCCACCTATGTCTACGAAACTGCCGCACCATTCTACTTGCGCGCGCATAGACTCATTGCTTCCTCAAAGTGGATCAGTCAAGGTAACCAGACACGCAAGCCTTTCAGCGTTGCACACAACGACAATATACATGAGGTAGACAAACTGGCTTGTGATTTGGTGAATTATTCAGTTGACTTTGGTGTGCGTGACGCAGGCGTTTTCTATGAAGCTATAAAGCACCACGCTAGAACCAAATTTCTGGATCCCAGCATTTTGGCTGTCTCCGGCTTTTCGCACTGGCCCCCAACTTGTCGGAATCCCACTCAAGTTCCCGGCAGGCACTTCGAGAAGAGGAAGAGGAGGTGGATGCTGAGGTCCAAGCGAAGCAGGCGGCGGCTGCAACCGCGAGCGGCCGTGAGCGGCGTCTGGTGCTTCGAACATTATGCGAGATTCGAAACGCGCATTTCCTTTTTGAGAGGTCTGGGTGGTGTTTTTGCGAAACGTTCGGATGTTTTCGGCCATAGTTGAATTGTTATCCCAAGTGAAAAAGGCTCTTTGAGATGGTTTGAACGCAAAAAAGGTCATTTCCAGCCAGAAGTCGAAGTCTTTTGATCCATGCTGCCGGGTGTACGGGATTGCTATGGTTCACAGGTGTTTTCTTTCTTCTCGATGTCCCGACCCTCCAAAACACAAGCACTAGGGGTCTTCAAGGCTGAGGATTTGCTTCATTGGCGTCTCCCAACCTTGCATTCTCCTTCGGAGCCCTGATCACCAGGCCACTCGGGAAATGCTCGCCAGCAGGAGAGGGACGTGCTCAAAGTTACAGACGGAAGACTAGACAGACGGAAGAGTATATAAAGAGATGGGCGTGGGATCTCAAAACGCAAGCTTTTTGCGGAACAACCACAATCCACTCACCCGAATTCACGATAACTAGAAAACCGGAAAAAAAGAAAGCGATAGCACACGCGCCAAATTTCATAATATACCAAAAAACTGAGCGTGGCCCGGACTGTGGATCGTTTGGTCACAGCTTAAAATTCTGAAAGGGAGAAGGACGAACAGAGGAACTCAGAAAAAAAACAGATCTTCTTGAGCAACTTAGTAGCTTCTTGTTACTAGTAGTAAGGCACTTGTTACTACTAGCGAGGCACTTGTTACTACTAGGAACAATAGTCAATTAACTTTGTGAGACTTGTTGCAATGCCGTGTACCGGTCCAAGGAGTTGCTGTGTGCAAGTGAAGCTGCCAGACCTGGATCCTCACATGGCTTCGCTGAAGCAGTTCATCTTGGAGGCGAACGCATCCGAAGAGTTCCAAAGGGTGTGACAGTGAAGCGTGGGCTCAGGAGAGTCAAGAAACTGAAGATGTGGGTGTGGCGACTAAATGGGTTGGCAAATCACTATCCGGATACATCAACACCTCCTTTGCCTCGTACTTAGTAACCAATTCAATTGAAGAGAATGGTGAAAATGGTGAAATGACGACTTGGGATTGTTAAGAGAGCTTAAAAAGGCCCAAAACCACTCATGTTGAATGTGGATGCAACAAGATGTTGCCGACAGGTCAGTGATGAGTGCTTGAGGCCGGCGCGAGTCGTTGCGAGTCGTTGCTGTCCCCACAGGGGGGTCTTCCCAGATGCCTTTTGCTTGTGAGGCACTGCTCAGCATGTTCGTTAGCATATGTGAAGCGGGCTTGAGATCGCAGACTGGAGATTCGGTACCTCAAAAAAATCACCGGTTTCATGGAATACTAGCTATGGAATCTCCTGGTAACACAACATCTCCTCCACTCAGCCTTCACCAGGCCTTAGGCCCCAGGCAAGCTACCGATGATTGTCACTACAAAAAGCAAGCGATTTGCTGGGAAGGTTTTTAAAACAGGATTAAAAGGTAAGACTGATGTAAGACTGATTGAACAAATTCTCAGTTGTCAAAGAACCTGGCAACACATCAATTGCCAGCCACTGGCTCTCAGTTTATGCATTCACCCTAGTTCTGTTTTCCCCGAACTTCTCCTTTCGTTCACCATCGTGCTTGGCCACAGGCTGAATTTCCCCATGCTGCCCCGCTCCAAGAAGTCCGCATACGCGGGGCTCTCCATTTGGTGGTCAGCTGCTCAGCTGAGGGAGATCTGAAGATAGGGGTGTGTACTGGAATGGGGAGACACCCAACCGTATGGGTAGACTGATCATGACTGGTCTATCTTCTTTCTTCCAGGGTGTCGAACTGGGAGGTCTCCCTATTTTAGTACACACCCATATCAGCCCTGAAATGTTAAGCATTACTGTAATTAATCACATCTCAGGAATGGAGATGAATGGAGCAAACGTTGCTAAAAGCGAACCAAATCGTGACTACTGAATGTCATTCAATGTGTATACCTTCCTCTACAAAAACTATGCAGATCTTCGGCATCAGAGCCTTGCTTCCCATCAGTGGTTTCAAAGTACCTGAGCTCAGGCTATTCTTAATATCTTTTGATGTGTTTTTTTCTTTTTAAACTTGTGCACAATTGTTCAAGCAAGCGTTCATCCATGTTCATCCCCAAAACTTGTTAGGACCTGCCCGCGCTAAGTGTTGAGTCAGTTAGTCAGGCCCCTGCCCTTCAACGCCGCGGATGCACGTGCAGATTGGGATCCCAAGGCAAAGCCAGCATGGGGGTGATACTCTTTTTCATGCGGCTTTGTTGGAATTGCTGATGCCAAACACCCTCCCAACCCTTTGTCTGACACAGATAGATTAGACTAGCGAGTGCCAATCTATATTCTGTATTTGTTCGTGTTGTTCAAGTGTGATCGAGACTGGTTCTTGCGCATTTGGACACCAAACTCAAGAGATGGCGGAAACCTGGCAGGCTGACATTCTGACGGCAACTTGGCCCGTTTAGTGACCGTGGTCGGTCGATTCTGACAATTGAAAGACCAATATTATAGCATATATTATAGCTGCATCAGGAATCTAAACGATTTTGGGCATGACTGCGACACATGTCACATGCTTTCAGAGGCTCTCAAAGCCTTGTGACTTTGAATGTTGGTGCACTACAACAATGCACGTAATACCGGCCAAATCGAGGGGTTTAGGGCTTGCCTCAAACGTTGCCATTTCTTCAATGGCTTTGAGTGCACAAGCCCCGTCCTTGCAAACAGTTGCACGAACAACGTTGGTGAGGAACTATCTCAAGCAACACAGACTTTAGGATCATACATACACAGTATATGTATATATACACCGAAGGCTCTGTCATGCTTAAGTTCCCATCGTGTGGGGTTGCAACATGCTAGCCTCTCACGTTGCTGCACCAACCAACCTGAAAAGGCCACCACACCTAGGTCAGCATACCAACGCACTGCGTGGACGTTTCTGCAGAGGCCAACGCCCATGACGTTTCTGTCCATTGGTTTGCCCGGGCCAACGGTCCCTGCTTTTCCTTTCTTTTCTTTTCCAAGGGCGCGATGTGACAGTGACATGACGTTCTCAAAGGTCATCAAAGGTCATAATGAGGTTCTGGAGGCACCTGGAAGCTTTAAAAACATGAAGAGGTATATGATTTTCAAATAGCAATGGCCTCCAACGGCCTCCAACCTATTAGCGATGGCCTCCAACCTAGAAGCGATGGCCTCCAACCTAATAGCGATGGCCTAACCTATGGTTCTGGAGGCACCTGGAAGCTTTGATCCGGAGTTGCTGGATGCGGTCTTCTGAGAGGGACGAAGAGACACACAGCTGCATGTACATACCTGTTGAAGGCCCATTGATCTCTGCCATGGCACAAAAATGGTGCCGTGGCTAGAGACCAGCAGCTAGGGAAAAGGCCGGACATCATCGGGACGTGCCTCAAGAGGAACATGACATTTTTTCCAAATGTGCTTCCTACTCACATGATGGGGAAGCACCTACTACTCACTGATCGATGCATTTCCCAACTTGCTGAGATCCGTGGAACATAGCAGAAGGGCAACTTTGACTTTGACAAACCCTGACATTCATCTGACATGCATCCTACCTGACCTGCTAGTGCTGCTAGAGACCCTTGAGGTGGCCTCGGGTTCCAAGTGAGATATGGATAATGGCAACGGGCCCACCAGTTTCCATGCCAACTTTTTGAGGACAATGATCTGACTGATCTGAGTCTTTCCGATGGCTTTAGCTCACTTGGTGCGGAGCGTGCCCTGCGGTGGCACTGATGCAGCCAGAAGACTCAGCCGAACATCGGATGACGAGGGGAGGGTATGGGCAGAAACTCGTGACATCTCGTGACATACGTGCAGTACACAGCTTAAGGTCATTTTCGGTCATATGTTTACCGTTGTTTACCCCTCACAACCGCACGACACCGTTTCTTTTCCCGGCCCAGATGTCTGGGTCCTGTCATCGTCGCTCAAATTGAAACGTTCGGCCGACTCTCGCACCGTGCATGCCTCGTGTCCCGTTTCCGAGGCTTCGATACTATCTCAACGGGAACGGCAAGAGGGCCCGGAGGCCCCAGTCTGGAGGTCTGGTTGATGCGACTTCTGGACCGTTCGAAGGACATTCGGACCGTTCCACGGACCACCCTGCGATAGATCTATCTTCGAGCGTTTTCACCGTCGTCGAGGGATCTTACACTGTGGAACGCCGATCCTGAGGTGTACACCCTTGAGAGTGTCACACAGGCTGAGGGAGAGGACTGAAACAGTGCTTTGCTGGCCAAACACATCTTACCGGGGGCGGTGGTTGCTGACCTTTAAGAGTGCTTCTTTTTGGTAGCCTGCTTTACGGGTGGTTGACCTCTCTGGAACTTGCGAATATTGGCAGGGCAGAGGAATCTTTTGATAGCAGAAATTGGTTTGATTGGCAAAGATCTATTAGTCTTTCCCATCATTCTCACGCCAGCTTCGGCTGATCTGCACCTGCTATAGCAGAGGGGGGAGGGGGTGGGGGGTGTTTTCCTATGAACCCTTCCAGTCCATCTTCGGAAGTTTCTTGCCATTTCCCATTCTGCCCGGTTGCGCATGCGAAGCCACCGACCTGCTGGTGAGTGGCTAGATGTTTCAGTTGGCCATGCTCTTCGGCCCTGGCTCGAGCCGAGGGCCCGCCGTTTGGGTGACTCGGGGCCTAGCCGTTGGCCCAGAGTCAGGAGGAGAAGCCCACCTTCTCGGCTCATCCTGCGAGGTGGGGAAGGGGAGCCAGCTGATTAACCTCTGGCGTCGAATCGAAGGCACGGGGACACACATTCGAAGGCTTGGATATTCTGGGGCAAAAACAAGGGCTGGTTCGGGGTTTTGGGATGTGCATATTCAAGGATGGGTCAAAATTATAAGCCGGATTCTTGTGGCCCCAGGTGATTTCCAAGGATTGGGACCACCAATGGCCACCACCCAATCGGCAGCGGGAGGTTCTCGCCAGATGACAAGTACTCAGAACATCGGATTAAGCGAGGAGCTCAGCTGACGACAGTGGCGAGTCCGGAATTCGGTTCCCACAGATGAAGCTCTTTTGACTCCTCAGGTGTAAGAAGCGCTTTGGGGTGCTGAAGACACAGGTGGGAGAATGGGTCTGGATGTGCGATGTGCATGTGGAAGAGAGGCTGCAGCGACACAGATAGAGAGAGAGAGAGAGAGACCGTACCTTCATTTGATTTGATATACATATATCGGTACGTATATTCATCTTTATTCTTGTCTGGCAGAAAAGCATGAACTTTGCTGGTTGTCCTGGAATCCTTGCCCTGGCCCGTCACCAGTTGAAACCAGAAGAGCTTTGATGCCGTGTCGATCTCAGGACGCTTGAGGAACATGAGAAAGCACAGCTACTTTAAGCTCATGATGACTCATGATCTCCTTGGCAAAAGACACCGAACACCTCCGAACACCCAGACTGGGAACTGGAGAGCACCCAAGATTCTGGTCCTTCCAAGACGTGAAGTCTCTTTGAATCGGTGGGACGATGGACTTGGATCGCACCCAGGGCCACACGGCCACACCCGCCGAGGTGCTCCAACGGCGCTTCCCGTTTCACCTCGTCGCAGCGGAAGACGTGATAAAGCGGCGTGTGACGCCATGCGATCAGAATGGAAGACTTGTGTCACCACGAACGGCTTTGGAGCCCGACATTCTCCTCATGGGCCTCATGGGTTTAGAATGTTTAGATATCTACGGAAAAAGCAACTCAACTATGCAACTTTACACGATGTTCCCGCCAAACAGTGCCTTTTTGGAGAGAGCTTCCAGGTCTTTTTCCTCATCATCGCGCAGTTTGTTTGAAAACTCTTCTGGACACTTGAGCCTGGTTTGAGCTCCTTTTGCTCCTTTCTTTCCTGGCAAAGTCAGGAAAGCGAGCTGCAAGCAGATTGAGCCTTGTTTACCTCAATTTGTCTTGTGTTGGTTTTCTTTTTACGGGAGGACAGTGATGCTACAGTAAGTTGTAAGACAAGACTCCCTAGTCCTATTTTTTGGCTGTTGGGTTTGCTTGCATACAATTCTGCAATTTGTGGTTGCTACTTCAATACTAGATGTTGTTCGCCTTTGCTCTCTGGCCATTCCATATTTCACTAGCCTCAATGCAATTCCTCCTCACCTCCCGCCTCAACACTGAGCCTCGCTTTCGTCCTCGTCTGGTTGCAAGCTTTCCCTGAGAGTCAACTTGCCTGAGTAGAAGCTTTTACACATGAACTTCAAACCCCATAGAGCACGCGCAAACTTAATATTCTGAAGGTTTGGATTTGTGCTTATTGAGGCACAATTTTTTTGAGTTCTTGTCCTGAGAATTCGCTTGTTCCTCATCTATGGGTTGCTGGACTTCAGTGCTGATCGATCACTTGTCGCAGGCCATTGGCTGTTAACGCTCCTTAATATTAAAGTAATATGACAAAGCAAGAATGCCGTGACGTGGCAGAACCAGAACATCATGAATGGGATCAAGAAGAGATGGTGCCGAGAAATAGAACATGCCAGAACGTACGAACTAGCATTTTCGACCCCTGCATCCAGACCATCATCTTGGCATCTCTACCCTTCAACCACCAGCTTCAATTCCAGAGTTGAAAGAACCTTTGACTTCGCTTTTCGCGCGCCAGCGCTTTTCGTGGCGTGGGAAATCTATGCCACGGCTCCAGCTGGTGCCTTTGCATAGCCAAGATGCACCCTTCAAGCTTCCATCGGTTGGCCACTTGTCAAAAAGATCTCTAAAATCTTTGAAATGAATCGAACATGTCCTTTGTTTGGAGAATAGCCAGGCCATGCTGGAGTCTAGTTGCTGTGCAGTAGCTTCAATAGTTCGACTACCAGGCTTTGGATGAATCAGGGCGGTCCTGCTGTGCTTATAAGGTACAGTGACGCTTGGGCGCCGGCCCAACAACACGCTGGTATGCAACGACATCTCGGTCAGTGGGAAGCGACTTGTCGCGAGTCGAGTGCCCTCATTTGTGCTTTGCAGGGGCAAGCGGAAAGTAACATATCGATAGTTTGATGTTGTTCATACACGAACCGCATTTTTGAGACTTCACCACTTGTTGAAATTGATAAGCTGTAGTACCACCTGGATAATGCGTGATATTCCTGATTTTCGTCCCCTTCATTCTACTGGGATCTATTTGGCTAAATTCAAACATGTGTAATTGGATCCAATCCAATCATCAGCCATTATATATGGTTTTGTCTCACCTTTGCCACTTTCCCAGGCACTGTGAGATCTCCGTGGAGTCTGGTCTCTTCAAACTGTCGGACTGCAGCACCAACGGTGCCTCGGAGATCGAAGGGACGAGTCGGCGGAACCCCGCGTCGGTTGGCTTTGTCTCGTTGAACTGGGGGATTCTGTGGACGTGTGAGCGGTGCGACATCACCTGTGCATCTCTTGCTTGTCCGCCGAAAACTCTATCGATTCTTGAGATTGGGTTGCATGTGAGCTAGTTGATGGGGATGGACCAGGCTAATTAAAGGGCTGAGACCACGGCTACCAAGGAAGTGTAGGTGCTTGCAGAAACATCGATGGTTTGTGCTAGGCCTACCAGCCTCCTTGTTTACTCCTCTGTCCAGAAAAATGGTTTCCATTTCTGGAATTCAAAGGGAAGGACGTATATAGATCAATCCTCTCAAGGATCAGGAACAGCACTAGCTTGGGAGAATCACCCTGTAGGACATACTAAGTAACTAGCATGTTTCTTCGAAATATCTTCAACTTCCGTCTTTTTTCCCATGGCTTTGTTCCCCGCTGATCCGGCGAATCAATTGAGGCACTTACATCAACGAGGAGCGCATCGTGCGGGGCGAAACTGCACCGCTCCGCGCGGGCGATGTGATCGCACTCACAAAGCCACCAGGCCACGGGGAGTGTTTATCCCTTTTCCTTTCATGAGTCTGAATTTGCTTTGACGCGTTTTGATTCTAAGTCCGGGATGATGATTGGAAGTTCATTCCTGGCAAAGAATGGTTGGTGATTGTGCAGCAAGGAGGCTATAGAGTTCAGTTGGGAGGAAGGTGAAGACCAGCAAAATCCCCGTTGTCTACTTCATTTACTACCTGACTGACTTTGTCAGCGGGATTCACCGGGTCACACAAAGAGGCTTGTCGCTTCCACAGAGAAGGTCTCAAGCATCGGTGAGAGCCATGAGGTTCACATGGTTCAAACGCTTCAAACGCATGAAATGACGTGGATGTGCTCTCAGAGTTCCAGAGACGGGGTCATTTTTTTGGTAAGATGTGACAACATGGAAGACAAGACGGGCTAAGAAGGACAGGAGTTGCCAAGCTATAACAGATTTTCCTTGCTTGGAACACACAGCCGTCTGAAGCAACAGCTCGACGGGAAGGTCTCCCGCAATGACAGGTGTTGACAGCACCGTCGAGCCTGCTGTGCGCGTACAATTCCGCGTGGAGGCGGAAGGAGGCCCGGTTGGTGTGTCGAGATGTGCGATGGTTCGATCCGCACCCCGGCCGGTCCAATCAAATGCGCATCGAAAGCGCCTCCAAACTAGTAGCGATGGCAAGAAAATGCACATGAAAGGTTCATGGGGGGCGGTGGCTCAGTTCATGGTTCGGGTCTTGCACGGCTATTGGTGGTGACTGATGGTGACATGATTTTGCCTGTTTCGTTCATAGTAAACAAGGCTTATGGCTTATGGATGATTCCTGTGAGAAGCCGGCCACATTCCGATTTGAGAAACTTGATATGCATCGGATGTGGACGCGCATGTCCTTTGATCAGGCTGTACCCATAAGTGGTCGCAGGGCATTAGAAACCCCTCTGCCCATCTCTGCCCCCTATTCTCCTTTGGGATCATGCGAGCTGTGTTCGTGACAGCGCTGCTGGTGCAGTTGCTGTGTTCCAGAGCTGACACTGCTGAGAGCTGTGTGGATGATGTGAATGCTGCTCTTCAGCAGGAGCCAGATACCTCCCTCGAGCTGCTGCAAGTGAAGAGCACAAAAGAGGAAGAGCACCGTGCTGAGGGTGCTGCGAGTGTTGCGAGTGCCAAGTCCGAAGAAGAGGAAGAGTGGTACCACTACAACCCTCCTGGCTGGAGGGGTGGCCGAGGCTATGGATATTATCACCACAATCCCGTTGGCCCACGGGGTGGTCCGGGCTACGGCACGACCTACTACCACCGCAACCCCTATGGACCCAGGGGCGGTTGGGGACATGGAACGACCTACTACCACCATCACGGAGGCATTGGCTGGCGTTGAGATGGTGAGCGGAGTTTTGATGCAATCAAAAGTATTTGCACTCCCATCATAGTTTCGAGATCTCAGGCGGAGCGGTTTGAAAAAAGGAACGATGGAACGGCATGATGCATGTAGCACCGCCTTGGCCGCGTGGTTCCGAGTGGTTCCGTGAGTGGTTCCGTGAGTGGTTTGGGGCTGGTTGGCCATGCGCAAAGCTTAGACATTGCCAGGTGATGCGGAGAGATGGCGAGCGCCAGGTGCCAGAGGGACTCACCAAATTCTTTCTTTGATGAGAGGATCAGAATTGGAATAGTATTCTCTTGATGTTTTTGGACTCATCTTAATTTATATTACAGTATATATACATACTATTTCTTCCACATGGGCTGTGAGACTGAGAAGAGTTGCAGTCGAGGAATGATCTGGTGTTCTGACAGTTGACCAGATCAATCGCAAGAGGAAAGGAAAGGTTTGTTCCAACATCCTAAGTGTTTGGAAAGGTTTGTTCTTTCAAGCAGGGAAGCGGGGGTGTTCGTTTGATCCACCCGTGTGGGCGCCTGCAGGTGTGCCGTCGGTCTCGAGCTGTCCAGCTCCACCGAAGCGGGCATCCACCACGGCAGAAGGCTTTGCACAGGATTTGTTGTTGCAGGAGCAACAGTGACTTGGAGGAGGTTGTTGTTCTTTTTGGACCAGTTTCATAGTGTTGATCAGTCTGATCTGTTTGATTTGTTCCCCTCAAGAGAGCAACATCCGAATGCTGAAGACCAGCTAAGGCTAAGGACCTAAGGGACCAAGGAGGCTCCCAACACCTCCGGCCCAAAAGATAGAACATCCAGTACCGTCCAAGAATCTCATAGAATCTCTAACTGACTCCATCAACACCGTTGCTATTCGGAACATTGGACTTTGCTCCGCTCCCATGATTGCTCTAACGCCACCAATGACCACCCCATGACCCACGCTTCTGCCCTTTCCGGACTCCCGTGGCGAGATCTCCCCATGACTCGGGCATCGCTACTAGTAACAAATTAACAAGGACGCTACCAGTAGCATCAGTAGCTAGGGCAATACTACGGGTTGAGGCGCAATGCGAAGATCACCGAAGAGCTGCTGCTGGCGCGTCGGCGCCTGGACGAGGAGCGCTCGAAGAGCGAGACCTTGACGAGGCGGTGGGTAAACACGAATGCGGGGAAAGGTGACCAGTGGAGTAGAGATAGGTGTTTGGGGGAAGATTGCCAACAAACAAAAGTATTGAACACCGAAGAGACACAAACAATCAAACACATGGAGACACTACACAATTTCTGTGCTTCCCCTGCTAGTAGTCTTCTATTTTCCAGAGATGGACACGAACGAGCTTCTTGCCTAGAGGGCCTGAGGGAGACAGAGACGGCAGATGAGTCCAGAGACGGTTCTGTGTCCAGGTGCTTTAGACCGGACCACATCCCACTCGGTGCCAGGGACCTGCAGCAGGCCCAGCAGAGCTTGGAGGAGGAGCGGCGACGGCGCTCCAATGCCTGCGAGCAGCTGCCGACCCTCCAGGCTGAGGCGCACGGCTGGGACCGAGCTCGGGCGCGCCGCGCCGGGGAGCTGAGTCTGAGAGGTGGTTTGATGCATCTTGCCCCGCTTCCGTTGGTTGGACGGTCGGGCTTGGAGTGTGGTATGCAGGTAGGAGGAAACATGAAGACACCCTGGGCACGAAACCGTGCGATTGGGTTGCGTCATCGCCTCAAAGCACGACAGTCGCTCTTTGAGATCCTTGGGATACAGAAACAACACACGAGAGGGGTTGCATGGCCTGACTACAAGCCAAACTTCATCATTCCCATTATTGGATGGCTGGCAAGGGCTTTTGTGGGGATCATAGTTTTAGCCAAAGCATCCCTGGGGCCCTGGGAATGAGTATTCCTGTCACACCACTGCAACAATAGGATGATACTTTTTATTCTGGCTATGCATCTAGGCGAGCAGGGACTTGTGCCAATTTCTGGACCAGCGTCATGTAAAGCAAACTCCGTGATACTCAAGCCTGCAAAGCAAATTGTTTGAACCCTCACACAAGTGGGGCACTAGACTCATTCCCAACTCCGGCCTGGAAAGCACTATTGGAGGTGGCAAAGCTGAAGGATCAGTCCCAACAGCTGCCAGAAATGAGGACGGGGGGAATGGTGGGCTTGGGAACCTCGCAAATTGGACCCACTGGAAGTGAGACAGGCAAAAAGATAGTAAGGGCCCTTACTTTTAGTATATATATATATATATCAGTGTATATAATATATGTTTGTCCTACTTACTGTGATTCTTGCTGACTGACTCAGTTGACTCGTTTGTTTTCACTTCATCCTTGGGCTTTGCTTGCAACGTACCTTGTTGCTTGGTGTTGAATCGATTAGTGTTCTGCTTTGGGGCGAGTTTATTTTGAGAGACCCATTGACTTTGGAGATGTACTGGCGATCTCTATGTTTGCAGCTCACAACAGACATACGTTGGGTGTCTCATAAAGATTGTCGGACCCCCAACCCCATGGGGAGGTGAACTCATGCAGATGTTTGACGATGCTTCGAGAACCTTTGAGAGATATAGATATTGGACGTCTATGCTCATAGCTTGGATGAAGGAAGATGAAGGTTCAGTGAAGGTTCCAGTTTGCCCTTATGACATCTTATACATCTTATGACCGCTCGATCGGGCACCTCCCAAAAGCCAGGTCACAGGCTGATAGACGAATTGAGAGCACTTCTGAACACTTCTGATTTCTATTACCCCTTTCACAGGGTTCCAGTGCCAAGGCAACACCACAGCGCTTTGTACCCTTTGTTCCCCCCTCGAATGCAGGGGGTGTCTCTTCCGAACATGTTCCCAGAGGGTCTAGAGAAGCCTTTGTCAGGTCAGTGACAAGTCCAAGACCAAAGATTGAGGTTTGATGATGTTTAGCTCATGACTCTACTTCGGGGCAAACAACAGATTCTCAGGCTTCCCAAGAGGTGGTCGTGTGGGTTTGAAACCAGTAGCTTCAAGCATCGATGCTTGCTGAAACGAAATCTCTGGTGCTCAAGGGTCTGACAGCTGCCACCAGGTCGGCCCAGGCTTCGCTACAGCAGAAACATGAGCGACTTGAAGTCGAAGTCACCATGGCGGCGCAGAAGGTGCTTCGAGCGTCGATGCTGCTGACGGTTGAACACAGAATCCGCACGTGTCCATCTTTATATATACAGTATTGCTGATGATGTTTCAGTCATGGCCGTCACAGCGAGAACAGGCAACACTCACTCACTTGTGAACACTTTGGATGTCCTTCACATGTGTCCTGGTGTTTCAACTTTCCCAACACTGTTCAGCAGAGTTTCGAAAGCCTTCACCTCCCACTGTTTGGAGCAACAAGACCACGTTTGGGGTCAGACATGCCTTCTTCCTCCCATAAAGGCTACTGTAATTGCCTGACCGCCTGAACGAGCCTGGCCCTGGCCAGGCTTCTTCATTGGAGATAGCTGTGCAGCGCTTGAGGGACGAGAAGAAAGAGCTCACAGACAAGGGCGATGCTCAGACGTTGCTGGGCAGAAAGGGCACACGTCCGGCGAACTACGGTGGGGTTTTGTCAGCTTTACCGTCGATCAGTTTATTGGTTGGACATTTTAGAAGTACTCTTACGTGGCTTTACCATGCTTTACCTAGATCCGTGGAGCTTCCCAGACTGTGGCACCTAGGTCGATACAGCGGTTTGAATCTGACATTTTCTCTCTCCCCAAGTCAAGGGACATGCCTCCTTCATGGTTTTAAGAAGTTTCCCCGTGCCATCCACTTGGTTTTCTTCCCTGGGGCAGCAAAAGCGGGCGCCTTTGACCATGCCCACTGGTGTTCTCCTGCAGGCTGGAGAGTGCCCAAGAAGCTCTTCGACAAGCGCAGGAGGAAGCAAACCGTGGCTTAGCGCAGAGACTGGCCGCTGCATGCTCTCTTCAGGTAGACTGCAACATGCCAGCTCAGAAGCTTCCCATGGCTGATCGATTTTCAATGATTTTCAGTAGTCAGATGGAGCCCCTTGGGGACTTTCACCTCATATCCTTTGCCTTTCACACTGACATTGGTATTTGTGCATAAAAGAAGTTGCAGTGCCAGTGCAACAGTTCACCATCACTTGCTCCACCTCATCGATGGCTCAGGCCTGGAGACGGAGGCGAACGAGGCCCAAGAAAAGACCGAACTGGCACAGAAGGAGATGGAGAAGCTTCGGCAGGACACAAAAGGGAACCGCTCAAATGAGTACATCTCCCCAAACGACAAGCAACAAAGAATGATAGGCAGCTGTATGGAAACACTATGAAGCACTATGTCACTCTGAAGGCACCAGACATTTGGTGGCGATGCATTCCTTCGTTCTTCCTTGGCACCATCCATTTGTACTCGTGGTGGTACGACCGTGAGGAGCTGAATGCCTCGAGGGATCAGCAGGCAAAGCTGTGCACCGGCAAAACGACTGTGATGACTCAAACCAGTCGGCATGGGACATGAGTGACATGGTTGATTCAAACCTGGTTGGTTCTCAAGTCCTATTTCAGGAATACCCTGCCTTACAGTCTGTAACAGTCTCAAGACTGCTTCCTTGCACCTTCCATGTTCAGTCTTGGCTTGGTCCGCAATCCCACAATAATTACTTGCCACCTTTTTCTTTCCAGAGGAACAAAGACCAAGACGCCATCCCAACATTTCTGCACATTTCATCAGGCTCTTTTCGGATCAACCCCCCGTAAAGCTTTCCACAGCCACCAACAGCTAAACCTTGAACGCAAACCAATGGACCAAGGTCAAACCACCGGGCCCTTGCGCCCCTGCGGACGCCGCGTCGCGCCACCGGACACAGGCCGTGCTGTTGAGCGACATGGCACGCGCCGAGAAGAGCCGCTCCGAGGCCGAGGAGCCCGAAGATGCGGCCGAGAAGAGCCCGGATGACGGTTTTGGAGCCTGCAAGATGATTCGTCTGACCTCCAACAACCTGCAGGTCTCTCGCTTCATCTTCGAAAAATGAAGATGTTTTCGGTACAGCGTTATGAGAGACGGGTGACCTGTGTTATGAGTTATGAGAGACGGTCAAGCTCAATCGAAAGCTC